ATCATCATCATCATCATCATCATCATCATCATCATCATCATCATCATCATCATCATCATTTAGAACTGCAGAGCTGGAACAGACCCTATGGGTCACTGAATGTCCCATCAAGGAGGCACAGTGGAGAAGCAAACTCCCAACCAGATACCTAAACCACTTAGCTAGTCAGCAGTTCATTGCTGGCTAGCAGTTACCATCTCCTGTTGTACTTAAATGGCTGAAGTAACACAAGAGAATAAAGATTTGTCCATCTGAGTAAGTTTTTTTAAAAAATCTGTATCTGTAAAGGGACCTGGGGAGGACTTTCTGTCTCAGCAGCACTGAGGGTCATGGGCACAGCCAAGTTCTCAACTTTTACTATACAAATTGATTTGACTCCTAATTTCTTTCAGGGTGTGTGGTTAGAATGGCTGACCTCTCTGTGTGCATTTAAAATTAACTGAATTCTATACACACTTTTAATAGAATTAAATTCTATTTTGTTAAAAGTAGTTCCCTGGGAAGGTACCCTTTCAGCCCAAACCCATGTAAATTGTGTGTGTTTGGGGTGATGGATGAATTTAAGCTACTCATTATAGCCACATCCTTCTCATCATCAGCAAGGAGGCGATAGGAGCAAGGTGAGTAAACTCTTTATTGTTCTTTATTTTTCAAATTTGCCTTTAAAAAACAACACCCTGTCTTTAAAGGTTTAGCTCTGGGCTGCTTGTTTTAATGTATAGCCTCCTTCTGAAGCCTGAGGGCAAATTCACTGAACTATGTCTTGCAATTGCCTTGGCTATTTGGTTCATGCCCTGTTGTGGGATGTGAGTTCTGTGCAGAGCAGGCTGTTGTTTAGATAAGAGAAATCCTCCCCAACCCTCAGCTTTGTCCTAATGCTTACTGGCTCCCAGATTCTTATTTTTTATATATACATATTTTCATAAATTTAATTCAAATGCCTAGATTTATTTTATTTATTTATTTCTTAATTACATTTGTATCTGGTCCATCTAGTACCCAAGCACTACTCTGGATGGCTAACAGCAATTAAAAACACAACTATCCAGCCCTGCTCACAAAGACATAAACAATGAGATCCAGACCAAAGCAGTAATAATCCACAATATAAAATAAACTTATAGCAATGGCTAATCACCAGATGACCAGAAAGATTTTTTTACTAGAGAGCACAGGATAAAAACACTGTCTGTAGGTAAACCACTTAACTGTGGTTCCATAGAAGGGGGAAAATAATGGTGAGGTTATCTGGAGGCTGAGTCGTGGCAACTAGACTTCTTTCTTGTTAGGTTGAAATGTTTTACTACTCATCCAAGTAGACTGAAGAAGCTAACTGGATGAGTAGCAAAATGTTTCAGCCTAATAAGAAAGAAGTCCAATTGCCATCACTCAACTTCCAGAAAAGCATCTACTGTAAATTGTTTCCTAATCTCGCACCGAAGTTAACTGGAGATAAGGCATAGATGGCCAGAATGCAATAGAGTTACTCATTGTTGGATCCACTGAGATCTTAAGGTGCAGCCACACAGGAATTTGTCCCACTGTTTCATCTGTGCTGGGGATCAGCTGGTTTGTGTCTTTTCCTGGCAACCCCATGGTATTAGTGCCCGTGCAAATTATCCCAATCCCAAAGCAATCCTACCCACCACTTTTTGATTCCCTGTCAGGGGCTACTGTTGCCCCATTTTGGTCTGATTCCAGCACAAGCAATCACTATGGTCAAATCAAAGTGGAGTTTTCAATTTCCCAGTATTATTAAGTGGCTTGAGCTGGTAGCTTAAGCTGCTTAAGGATATTAGGAAATTGAAAGTTTAAGACATCCTCTTTCCAATTTTCCAATATCCTATTCCAATTTTCCAAGATCACTCCAATATTTCATATAGATGAGCAAAGTGTGGACTTCTAGATGTTGAACGACACCTGCCAGCATTCTTCACCACTCATGACAGTTGCAATCCATCAACATTTGGAGGGTGAAATTTTGTGCCCTTTACAGCAACGTTGTGTTATTATAAGTTTCCTCCTTTTTCTTTGCTTTATCAGCCCAACAATCATGGACAAATTCTAGCAATCTTGGATAACTTGTTGGCTGTAGGAAACTCAGTCTATGGCCTCCAAGGACCTCGGAATTTTGAAAGAAAGAAAGAAAGAAAGAAAGAAAGAAAGAAAGAAAGAAAGAAAGAAAGAAAGAAAGAAAGAAAGAAAGAAAGAAAGAAAGAAAGAAAGTCTATAGTACTAGAACAGTCAGTCAGTCAGTCAGTCAGTCTATAGTACTAGAAGCAATATGGCAATATACAGTCATCATGACTAGTACCCTTAATCTCTGTGATTCTATCTAATCTTCTTTGAAAGCTCCCCATCTTGGCAACTGTTACTGCAGCTTGTAGAAGTGAATTTCATAATTTATCTGTGTGAAGAATTACTTCTTGTTCTAGTATTATAATAGGAGAATAAAAGCCTATCTGCAGTTACTCTGATTAATTTTCTGCCCTTCATCACATTCCCATTTTCTTGTCTTTTTTTGGCTTGAGCTGAAAATCTTCAGGTATTCTAACCTTTACACGCTAGGGAACCGCTTCAATTTCTTCATGATTTTGGTTTATCTTTTTGCACCATTTCCAGCTTACTGATCTATCTCCAACATAGAGTAGCTTCATGCTATTATTTGGATCAAATATATAGACCTTAGTTTATATCTTAAATTTAAAGAATATAGCAAATAACAGCTGAAATCCTGTTGCACAGTTAACAAACGATGTAAATTTTAGATGTCAATTGCCACAAGTTAAGAAATTTCTGTAGGCACTATTTGTTGCATACACCAATATAATTTTATGTATTACTATACACAATGCATTTGATGTCTTTATAAGAGTAAGAGTAACAATTGATAAGAGTATTACAATTTCCCATTTCTCCTTCAAATTTCCATTTATTTCTAAACCATGCAGGGCAGAATCGTGTTCTGTATCCATACCATCTTAATATAATTGCGTAGTGACAGTAAATTGCTGCTAAATAAGAAGTTGTCACCTGTATTCCTGGCCACCTGCCAAGCTGTGTGACTGGCTTAAGACCCAAAAAGTGAGCACCAACCTTTTCATTGATAACAGTTCAAAGGTACAACTTATGCAATTACATCTATGTGGGCGTAATCCATACTGGACACTGGCTGTTAACAAAGAAAGTTCCCTCAGCACAGCTTCTCCATAGGTTAAAACTGCCTAATTTCCTGGCCTCCTATAGCATCTCACCAAACAGGATTGTATCTCACACAGAGTCCAATCATTGGTCTGCCAGCCCCATTATCACCTGCTTCCACTGGCAGTGACTACACAAAATCTCAGCTCATAAGGCCTTTTCTATCCCCTAATGGTAAGGTACTGGATGAGTACACAGAGTGGATTCCATGTCCTCATACTGGATCTTCACTGGGAGAAGTCCTAGCTGTCTTAAGTGCAGTTAAAATGATTTAACTGAAGAATCATACCAGTTCCTATCAACGTAACTGCAACTACAGCCTCCAGTTAGCACTTCCATTCTAAGAAGACATGCAGGGATGATTTTATGAACTACAACTAGACCATGTGAACTTTAGATCTTTACCCTAAAGTCAATGAAACCAGTGGGACAAACTATGTCCTTTGTCAGTACTTTGCCTTTGAATCCAGCGGCCACCATTGCTAGCTAGGGAATTCTAGTCTCCAAAGAGAATGCTTTCAACCTTTCAAGTAGGCATAACTAATTATTTATTTTGATAATGGTACATTGTTACTCCTCTCTCTCTCTCCTCCTACCAGCACCTACCATGTTTCAACTAGATGCTTCAGTACCCCTTATACACATTACAGATAGGAAGTCTTAGTTTAAATAAATCTGAGTTTATTTAAACTGAGCTTTTTAAATCAATCAATCAATCAATCTGGAGCTAGGACAGCGAAGGGAAAAGTTATAGAGGCATAGCCACAGACAACACACTTTGTTTTTTAAAATCCTGCACATAAGGTTAGGGGAATACTTCCAGTGTTATAGTATTTGGGGAAAACTTGTAAAATACAAAACAGAACAAGATTCAGAACAGGGAAATTTTCAGATAAACATATTAAGCTATATATTTTATTATGGATTAATTAATTATGATAAAAACTACTGTTAATTCCAATTCTACACCAATGAAAAGAAAAGAAAACCCCAGAAAATCCCAGAGTCATAAGACTTTTGTCACTTCAGAAATTGCTACAGCTTTAGGCAGAAAATGCATTGGAAGATGCTGTGTATACCTACATTATCTGGAGAGAACAGCCAGGGACCGTCAGGATCTTGAGGTGCTTAATGTGGGATTTGGCCACGTTGCTCTCCACATATCTGCAGGGACAGCGGTAGGTCAGGCTGATGGGCTTCCCTAAAGGGCAACATAATGAAAAGGATTCAGATACCTGAGACAGTACTTAGGCCAGCCTTTGTGGGTTTTGTGTCAGATAGAAGTCGTTTCAGCCTTTAATCCTTGTGTTTGGAGAGACAAAAATAAGGTGAGAAACTTGAAATTAATAAAGGGGAACATGCTTTAAAAAGAAGAAGCTGGTTCATTGTCCCAAGTAGCTGGTGGCAATTGGGCAATATAATGGCTAGATTTGAAAAGCACTTGGCCTCCCTCAGTGTTAATCCTGCCAAATGATTTGACCCCAAGCCAAATGAAAAGGCAAACAGGATAAGAAAACAAGTTTGGGGAGCCAAACAACCCCCTCCTCTGCAGACTGGCTCCAAACAGGGAGAGGGGAGCCAGTAGGGCCTGTGAGCACTCTGGTGATGCTCCAGGTCAGCATATGTTGTTGTTGTTGTTGTTAGCCATAAACTGCTTGAAGCCATCTGTAGATTCTTTCCCCTTCTATGCATTCCCAGAAGAAGAAACACCAGGAGCAGCTCATAAACTTCAAACCTTTGGTACTTCTAACAGAATGGATCCCAAGGCAGGGCTGCTCCCTTGATGCCCTCAAATTTCCTGAAGCTTCTGCAATTGTGAAGCATCCCTTCCATGAGGGACCATCATGGCAGATTTCAAATGAAGACAACAAAGGACCCCTTGCTCCTACCTAAGGGGCCACTCCCTCATGCTAAGGACTAATCATGGAGGACTTTCTTGGGCCTATAGCACTTCAAATAGCAGGGGGGAAGAGGCTGCCATGCTGAAATATCCCTTCATGCAAAATTTTAAAAGCATTGTTCCTCCACTGACATATCAGAGAAAAGAATACTAAACCAGCATTCTCCCGGACATAAAAGCAAAAGTGTATATAACACTGGACGTTCATGAATCGACCTCCTGACATTTTCCTTGCCTGGCTAACAACAATTTTTGTTTGTTTGTTTTTGATTTGTGGTGTGTTTGGGAGCTTGTGCTCAGAGAGGAAATTAAAGTTTGACAGGCCATGAATTAATGCAACTCCACAGAAAGCATTCCACAAGCACTCTTCTCTTCAATGCAATCAGAAGTGAATGTTATACAAAGCTGGGACATTTTAACATTTCTGTTTATCAAATGTGCCCAATAATGCCTACTACTACTGACTATTCAAAATTCATTATCACAGTATATGTATCACAGGTTATTTTCAAAGGTAGTAATAAGTTAATCAGGGAATGATGACAGAAATGTCTATAATAGTTATAAAACAAGCTAAATGCTTGTATCTTCACCTTTTTTCAAAAATGGAAGGCTACTATAATTGTAAGATATCATAAAGATAGCAAGTGGCTTATAATTTAATTCATAACAGGTTTAAGGGCGGTGCTCATAGCATCTCACATGGAGCCATCCCCCCCCCCCGATTCCCATCATGTCTGGAAGTTCTATACTAGTATGGGTAACAGCTAGGAGAAGTAATTCATGCTTATTCCTTCCCCCCCTTCATGCCATCTTCCACATATGGAAAGGTGACCCTTTATATTTTCGCAGTATGTGGATCTATGTAAAATACACACACAGAGAGAGAGAGAGAGGAGAGAGAGAGAGAACAATATATGGGGATATACATCCACATATCTGTGTATAAAATATCCACAAACATACACATACATATGGCTCTATGTACATACGTATGTTTGATAACAAAACATAAAATTTGTAATTTTATGATTTTATATATTTTATACTGTTTTGTTTTTTTTGTAAGCCGCCCCGAGTAGACATTGTCTAGAGGGGTGGGGTAAAAATCAAATAAATAAATAAATAAATAAATCCTGAATGCAATGAGATAGATAAGGTTCATTTTTGGCCATCCAAATACAAAACATAAAAATACACTTTTCTATGCTTCTTCTTCAGTCCAAGTTGTTTCCAAAACACAAAAGAGCTTTGTTATTTGACGAATATTTGCTCCCTTACATATTAAAATGGTAATTAACACCATTCCATTTGTTAGAGAATGCTACAGATCACACCCCCAGGCAAGCATACTTACAAATGTAAATTAAGTATTTCAGTAATATTACTCTTCCCCATACAGGCTCTTAAAACCATTAGGAGCTACCACTATTATAAGGCTGATACAATATATTTCCCCAATCCCACAATCTGATTTTCAAAAACTTCTCTCAATGTAGTCCTCACAAATAATGCCAGAGTCATTGTGTTGTTCCTTTTATAAGCAATAGGAATTCTACTCCCTGAACATGTTTAACTGCTTATTATTATTTAGCCCATTTCCCCCTTAATGTTCAAAAGATTAAATCTAGAAAAACAAATAACTAAACATTTATTTTATGTTTGGAAAGATATTACACTAAAACACTGTCTACTCTTTTTTCAAGAACTCTGGATAGCCCTACTCACATGCAGCCATTTGCACTGGTATTCTGTATTGTGTAACATGTGTTAGATAAGAGCTACTGCATGGTTTACCTTATCGCTTTATAAATGTGAATACCTATTAATCTTAGATGTTGCTATTAACTGCAAAGAAGGAGACATAGCAGCCCCTGTGGATGCTTTTAACAAAAGAGAGTAACATTCGAGAGATCCACTCTCAGTTGTCCCACATAACTCCACACATAGAATAGTACACAGGGATTTTAAAGAGAGGGATTTTAAAAGCACACATTACTCACTAGAGCCCTCATCAGCTGTCAGATGTGGTACAATCCAGACACAGATTTACACCCCTTCAGCAAATTGTATGCCCCTGTTAGTGCAAGGTGTTGGCTGGTTATCCAGCTTTGCAAAACAGAAGCGGTATCGTGGACAGAACAAGACATACCAACCGACCCTTGAACAACGGGGCTTCAATTCTGATGATCCATGTTTGTGTGGCACCTCTTGTTCAGGCATGTCTGCCTCAATAACTGATGAACTCGGCTGAAAGTAAGGCAAGGAGCCCCAAAGCTGACTGGAGTTTGCACAGTGGCAGGTATATTCACCTGGGGACAGGCATTCAATAAATTTTTCAGATCAGCTGAAGCTGTCAATTACCATTTTTAATATGTAAGGCGGCAGAAATTCTTAAAATAACAACAAAGCTCTTTTGGAAGTTCAGCTGACAGGACCCAATGAGAAGGCAAAGAAGTTGAGCTTGTTTTTTGGAATTTTAAGAACTTTGTGGAAGACTCCAGATCCATGGCTCAAAAATATACGTATATTGTTGGTCCTATTAAAGACATCCTCATAGATTTTCAAAATTTGTTTTGCTTTTTGTGGCACCAAGGTGGTACTCAAGCCAAAGTCCAGAGATGGGCTGTGTCTGGTCTCCTGAGGGCAAACTCCTCTTGATAAGCCCTTAAGTAATAGCAGGTGAGGGGGGTTAATTGTTATCTTCCCCCACACACACACAAAAAAGATGCCAGCTTCAATACAAGATAATCCTGACTGTAACTGCAGCCTAGAGCAAAGAATGAGGAAGAATTTATAGTTCCTCGGGATTTAATTAGGCAGACCCACAAAAATGGGGGGGAGTATTAAAAGATGTAAAGGAATATTCTAAACAGATAAAATGAAAAAAAAAGGTGACAGGAAGGGTTGATATTTTGTATGGGTTAAGATAAGGCATCTTAAACGATGATCTTAAAACAAAGCAATGAATTAAGCAAAGTAAGAGCCAGGATGTGAAAAATATTCTCAAAGTTACAAAAACATCTTGGCTGAAACTGTATTTATAGTGTATTCAATTGGATGCAAACGATTTGGGCATGAAGTCTAAGAGGAATAAATGAATGGAAACGATTTCTGACTAAACATTGACTGGACTGGCAGGCTGTGTTTCAAATGGGCAAGAGCTGCCTACAATTAGCAAGGGAAAGCAGCTTAAGAGTTAGCCAGGCAAGAAGTCATTGTACTCAGGGAGGTGTGTTGCGCCCCAGGGCAGGGCAGCCAAATAGCCAGCAGATTGTGTAGATGAAGGCAGCAGGTGGGGACACCGTGTAGGTCTCTGTGCCCT